ATTTTCATCCATTTTACACACTTTCATTCACTACACTGCTATACATGTCGGGAGACCAGACGGGAGCTAGTCTCACTGGTTGGAGATGCATGGATGAGGATGCCACCGTTTAGATCGGCGCCGGATCTCACCATCCAGAGACGAGAGAACGCCACCACCTCCCGTGACGAAAAATACACTATGCTTACGCGACTAATGACCATATTTGTTGACGCGCTCGGAAGCGTGAAATAATTAATCTGTTGGGCAAGGACAATAATTACGTTCATTCGGGTTGTGTGGCGGGATTCCAGAGACGACCGCCACAAACTCGCTTGGTGAAAACCGAGGGCCGATGCTGGATTCTTATCACGCGCCGTGGTCAACGCTCTAACCCACTTGGCCACGTGGTCGCGGAGAGCCAGTGTGGAGCGTGTGGAAATTAATAGCTTCCTGGAAATGAAATGGTTGTTGGTTGCAGACAGCCCAGAAGCGGTTTGCGTTTTTGCGTTCCTGTTCGTGCGACTCTTTGGGGCCAAGAGAATGGCATCGGATAATGTTCGCTTTTGGATGGCAGTTATTTAAAATAAACTTTCTAGAGCTATGAAAATGCAAAGTATTGGCTTAAAAAGAGATTACTGATTCTTGGGTATTTTCAGAGTTCGTACCCCGGATTTAATTCTAGGGATTTCTTGTTGTTTAAAATCTCACGAAATGGGACTGCGAGTCCTCCGTGACGAAGTTTTCTTTGTGTTAAACCATTTCATTTTCTTAGGAATCAATGAACATGATTTTAGATCGAAATACTAAACATAAACTCGAAACAAATGAAAGCGAACCCGCTTCGTTGAACACGAATTCCACGTGGGTCGATCGTGTTTTGGATCCCGATCCGCAGTGATGGCAGGCGATCGACCTGGCTCTGCCCCAAAGGTCACCTAATCGAAACGGTGTTCAGACATCGATGTATGCATCTTTAAATCTTGGATACCTTTGCGCTCAAAGGTAGCTGGTACCCTTTAGTTTCATACCAAAAGGAATTTGAGTCGCCTCAGAGCGGGCGCTTTTAACGTTTCGACTCCAATCCACACCTCCTTCAGGTAGCACCAGTTCTCCGCCAGACACCCCGGGGTACCCGCAGGGCTACAGTGGAACGCCCTTTCGGTTAAGCCTGGATAGGGCTACTAGTTTTCATCATTTCGCAGTCGATTTAAGTCACTCCGTGCCTCTTGAAAACTACTCCTGTGCATCGCGCTGTCACGACGAAGCCAAGAGCCCGAGCGGAACCAACCCGGCCCGAGACCTGGGCAGCTCGGAGCCCCAGCCCGTCTCCTCTTGCACTCGCAGCGCTCTCGACCAGAGTACCGTCGGGAATCGAGGCAACCGACCGGGTGATTAAATCCCTCCATTGCTGCCGTGACCACATCCCCAATCTTGCCCGAAGGTCCGTTTGGGCACAAATGGTGCAAAAGCCCTAGCAACGATGGAGGTTAACTCACTGCTTTCACTTTGGCACTAACGGCGTGAGTGCCGCCGAGAAACTGGGATCTGGGTGGGCGTTTCGAAACTCCACCAAGGACTGTGGTGTTTGCGGCTGATAGTGCCATACCGCAAGGCAATCGTGATATTAATGAATGGATACAATAATGAAATGAGTGTGAACCCCGCCCCCCACGTTGGATGGGCGGGAAGGTGCAAGAAGCTTCGCCACTCCACTCCACTCCGCGCATGGCACCCTGCGAGCGCGTGGCCTGGCCGGCGGCACTCGTATGTGAGAGTGTGTGTGTGTTTTGCGGGCGCAGAGAGCTGCGTCTCCCGTCGCGTCGTCCCGTGCCGCCCGCGTCGCCCGCCCCCGAGCAGCTCGCCGCCCGCCGCTGGCCGCCCGCCGCCCTCGCCCGCGCCCGCGCCACCGCCAGCGCCCGCCACTTATGGTGCTGCGGGGCGCAGGTGAGGATCCACAGGCAGCCTTCTTCTTCTTTCCTTTTTTTTCTTGGTCTTGATTTGGTTAATTTAGTCAAAGGACAGTAAAAGCTGTATGGGAGAGAAATTCCATCTATCGTTCTTACTTCGCGCGTCTACTTTATGTATTACATTAGAAAGAGAGAAGACTGACGACTTTTCAGCAGTCATATTGTGACTACCTGATTTTGAATATGAGAAGAAAACTTTCTCTTTAGTATAATGGCTTTTTCTAAGTATCATCTAGGTTATGCGAGTCTTCAATAAAATTGCAAACGTCAAAACGTACGCGGTTAACCGTTCAGATAATTTTGTACTAAATTGGCATTTCTCTCGCTCTTTATCTTTCTGTATTTAATTTTTAGGTTCATACTTGCTTGGTTAAGCAACTTCTATTGGCATGTAATTACTCTCAATAAAGTTGTTTCTTGTCAATAAATTGTGCTGTCTGTGACTTCTGTGGGATTCTTGGGCACACAGTGATTGTCCTCAAGCCCCATTTCTGTTTTAAATATTTAAAAAGCAACATTTTTGGACACATCAGACATAACTAATACTTAGGTACCGTTCGATTGCAAAATAGTTGGGGAAAAAGGAACTGGGAGCTAAAATGAATGTTGCAGAACAATTTCAAAACAAACTGCACTTCAGCATCTACAGTAATGCTAAAAAAACGCACTTCCTTTCTCATAGTTGTAATCTGCAATATAATCCTGAACATTCACTTCATTTGAAAAAATCGAGCTAGTTATGAAGGTAATGGCATCAGAAACATCATAATCCTCATAAAATATTATTACCAATTTCTACTTATATTTGTTCAAAAGATTTGACTGCAGATTGAATTAGGAAAATAGAGAATACCCACGTGTGGTGTACCACAAGTGACGTGGTTTTTTAGCCCTACTGCATACGGAGATGGAGGTAAGGACATAATGTCATGGCGGCAGCGACAAGGCATTTTGGCCTTTAAGATTTTAAATATGTCAAGGATGTCGTTTTTTAATTTACACATCACTTGTTTTGTAATTTGTAGCATATTCTGTACTTCTTTTACCAACAGTTTCCTGTGCCACCTAGTGCGGGAATCTATTTTCACTACACACAGTCCGACAGGACAGTAAATTGAAAGTGTTGTTGGGTGTAAAATTATTGTAAATGTTAAATTACATGTACTACTTTCATGATGAAACGGATAATGTAAATTAAGAGGAACAACATATCAATGTGTGTAACTCAAAAGCAAACATAAAGAACATTTCGTTTAGAAATTTCGCTTTAGTGGAATTAATTTTCGTATTGCTTTTCTGTAAGATTTTACGTGAAAATGAAAGTAAAGATACCCGGTGCGCCTACAGTGGCCGAGGTGGTCACATACTGATCGTCGCCATCGGCACAAGGTGGTTTGTGTCGAGGAGGACACTCCGGGCCGGCCCACCAGGAAATATTCTAGTGCTCACGTGGGAAAGGGCCCGAGTGAACCTCAGAACCGCTTTAAGTAGAAATCAGCCAGAAATCCCGACGTATGTCTGGATTCTAATCAGTAATTTAGCTCAAGAAGGCAGCGCCCAATACTAAGCAACCTCGGCTGTGATAGATTAAAACGGCATTTTTTTGTTCAAGTTTTATTCGTTAATTTGTCCTTGTTGACGGCGACATCAGAGAACTGACTAGTTAGTATCAGGGTAGCTTTAATATTTTCTTTGTGTAGGGTGAAATTACAAATTTTATCGGGAAAACAGGTCCGGGGAATTTGTTCCAGGAAATGAGTCACCATCGGTTAATATTATTGGATTCTGAAAGTGGAAGTGAGCGTCAAACCTTTTGAAAATAAAAGGCAAGGCCTACAAAAGACACTAGTAAACATTTTGTTGGTTTTTCGTACTTTGTCTTCACGCTCACAATAAATCAGGATATTCCTTACGTTGATGCGCAATCCAATCAATATTACTTTTACCCCCGCCTCAAACTTGCCATCTTACGTCCGAAATCACAGGGAAAAGGAACTGAATTCTATTGAAATTGCTATTAAAGCTTACGGTGTTCAAAGAATTTGTAGAAACTTATTATGGGAAAATCTAGGATAATATTTAGGTGATTAATAGACGATCGTACAAACATGTCAGATTCCCGCCTCGTAATAGCTTCTGAAAGATAGAACCGAATCTTTGAGATGTCTTGCGATGACTACGCAGAAATGCCAGGGCATCTGTTCTCGCGCGAGCCAGAGATTGCCTTCGTTGTCGTGTAGTAGTTAAATTCTCGGCCTTCCGTTACATTCGAAAGTGGTGAATCTTCTCTGCCGTGAATTTTTAAAGGTTTTTTAGAATTGTAGAATTTTGGAAAACCATGAAGCCTATAAATAACTTCTTTACGGCCATTAAAAATAGCTGGTACCATAGCAACAATAAGTTTTCTTTTCTTTTGTTTCTGTGTATTTTGATTACCTTAGTTTACGGGCAGAGTCCGAACAGGCTTGGGCAGGGAACATCTTCGTCTCTCTTCTCAATGAGAAAAAGGCGCCGTAGGATGTGTTACAGTTGTGCATATTCTCAGCATGTTCTGATACCGAATTTTAAAAGCGATCGCCTGGATTAAGTGGACTTCGTGAGGCAGCGAAATTATCTGCTGCCTCCTTAACAAAAAAAACTACCTAAAAATAGACATTATGTGCTCTTATGGCAGAAACATTCTCCCTTCGGCTTTCCTACAAATGGTTCGGCGTTACTAAACGTGTTGTGCGATTTGCGGACTGCAAGACCATGTGCCAAATGGTGGCAGGTCGTTCACATCTAAGTCTGTTAGATCTGTCCAACTTGCTGTGCGTTTGATGTTCTGCTTAAGACCTGTGGATTGTGTATTTTTCCTGTGACATGTATTTTGACGAGCTGCATATCCATCGAAAGCGTCCTAACAGTCGCAATACTTTGCCTTAAATTTTTTGTATAAAGACAATTTGCAGGTTGGTTGCAAAATCTGGGACATGTTGTACTGTGCATACTTTTAACTGCACGATCTTGGTTTTTGTGTGTTGTATTGAAGATTCACTATTTGGTTTGCAGAGACAACAATATCCAGAGGAAAATCTGGGAGTGTCCACATAGCCCTAGCGCCGGCGCGTGGCCTAGACTCAAGGTGTATGATTTCATCTAAGCGGCAAGAACCAATCAGTTACCGGTAAGTGAAATAAATACACTTTTATTCGTAGTACTGTGGAACCTCGATTTTCGTGATTTTAACACGTTTGGAGAGAGACTGATGAAAACAGAATGTACAAAAGCTGAAGCTACATTTCCTATAAGAAATTAATAAAAATTCGCTTAATACCTTCGACACAGAAAAAGATGACTGGAAATTTTATAGAGAATAATAGTAGTTTTTAATAGAAAACAAGAGATATTAATGATTAATGAAGTTGATGAATGAACAAACATTAACTTTCACCTTTTATTGAAGACTATTAATGTAAGGAAGACTGCGAGGACGAAAGAAAAATTGTATGAGGGCGAGGTGTGCAGACAGGGATTCTGATTACCTGGAATGCAGTGTGCGGGCTCTCGAAACCAGGCAATTAGTGGCAGTCACGTGCGCAGGCGAACGAGTAGGGGAAACATGATTTTTCAGTCGTGCACAAACTGGGGCAAAATTTCGACAAAGTCGTAGTACGAAAACTAGGGCTCGCGGAAACGTTTGACTATTGCATGATGTGCTAACAAAGTTTCAGTTCGTTCCTGATAGATTGGAATGTTCGACGACAAATCGGATAAGTGTTGCTTGTCAAACGTTTAGAACGGATTTTGTTTAGGAGTTTGTTAGGAGTTAGTCAAACCGCGTACGGTGTGGGCTGAGTCTCAAACATAAACTGCGAATTTTGCGTCTAAGCTGTTGCAATAATTTGTGTAATTTACTTGCATGTACGTGTAGTAACTAGCTCTGTGAATCTCGCGGACAATAATTGTTTAAATCCTAAGTACTGGTCCATATACTTGCTGCTTAACTCTGTTCAGCCGAAAAGCTCGTTTAACCAAGAAGCTTGTGTACACATTTTTAATCTTCAGACAATACTGTAACTTGTGGATTTTTTTCTCGATCACATCCTTATTTGATGACCAGAAACTTTCATAATTTTCCTCTTAAATATATTTTATTGTTTCTGGACGTTATTATTAAACCCCGCGTTATTATCCGAAAATAATTTGCTCTAACCTAAACCATATTCTTTTTTATAGAAAGGTGCTCAATGGATGATAAAGAATTCCCTGAGGGGAAAACATAATAAGAGTAAGTTTTATTCCACTACCTTCTTGCATAGAAAAGCTACGTGCTTTATTATTCTCTCGGTATTTGCTCTTGGGCCATTTTTGCGCAAAGAAAATATTTGGGTTTCCGTTAAGGAGGAGCGTCGCGTGAGTGGTAAGTAAATGACAATGTCTAATCACGAGCAATCGAATGTAAATGGTTTAGTACATTTATCCGCAAAGTATAGGAGTTTGATTCATATATTTGCAAAGTGGAAGGAGTAAGAATTGTCCTAAAAGCAGGTGTTGTCTAAGATATTCGATTTAATTAAAATTGGAAAATTAAAAATGCTTCCATGGTACAAGGTAGTCTGGATTTCGCACGCTGACCAGGTGCTCTCTTTAGTATCCCACGTTCTGTTAAGAAATTGTGAGAATGTCTTAAGTCGTGATTTACAATAGGGCTGGGGGAGGATCCGAGGGTGGGCCTGTGCCACTCTCCCTGGGACTAGAAATTTGCTTCGAATATTGAATGTATTATTTAACTAGTGGTGCTACAACAGCACATACTTTCTCGCATTTGTAACTTTTGCAATATTCGGAAATTTTGAGTTCAACGAAGGTACATCAATTTGTGAGTACAAATGAATGGAAGTTTCCCGTCCGTTTCCTTTGAAAATGAGATCAAAATTGCGCGATTTTAGAAACCCTCAAACATTTTTCAAACAACCGCTCCCAATTTTTCAATTTCTTATAGTGTTTACTCTTCTATAAGATTGTTTTTGTCATATTTGTTCCACTGTTAAAAACCGAAAAAAAATTGAGAAAATCTAAAAATGTTTAAGTCTCCGATTGGTAGCAGCTGGGAAGAGTGAGGCAGAACCAAATATCTCGCCAGACTAAAGATATTAGGAAATAATTAGTACGAGAAAGTCTATGCCATTCTGTTGTACCACTAGTTCCTTTTTTGTATTAATGATTCGTTGCAGCTTATATCAATTTTCTGTACTGAACTAAATGATATAACTACTAAATACTAACTTACTACTGAACTAAATATAAGCACGATAGATTGTCTTGTGTGATTGAAAATGTGTAACGCTGATGAAATCGCACAGGACAGTAGGCATATTGCCTCCCAACCCACAACGCCACAACGGAGTTTCTGCTAGAGTACGCAGCCTAAAACAGGAGACGCCATAATTTCTGGGGCTCCTTTCCATTAAACTTTATTACTTGAAATACGACATGCTTTACTAATAAATAAAATGTACAAGGATAATGTATTGTAGCTTTAATACTATTTAGTAATACAATTGATTTGATGGACAATTAAAAGGTTGCCAAAAGGCTGGAAAGCCTTTTCCCTAATGTAGTATTACAATTTCTCTAATTAACAGGGCAAATAAAGGAGAAAATCCAGGATTTATTATGGAAATAAATTCTCGAATGCGTAACGCTACGGGGCCCCTTTCAATTTTTCGTATTCAACACGTTCTGTCCTCCCCCCCCCCTCCAGTGCGCGCACGCGTACAATGTTACAAATGTGATCAAAATAGGATGCGAAAGAGGGACGACCCCTTTTCAGGTACGAAGGTTTATATACTTATAGGAGATACCTTGGTTCCATTTTCGAAATTGTCTATTTGCAAATAAATTCAATGGATTATGAGAAAATACTGCTTTAATCTCTTCTCATCAACCGCTTTCATTTCATTTCTCACATCGTTGAAGAGTGTCTCTCCCGGGATGTGACTTTATCTGCACTAGACACAATCACTTCAGCCGAACTGTCGACGCCGCCCACGAGTCTAAACGAAACTGGGCAGTCTCCGGAAATTGCACTTCTACGACGCGACGCAGAGTTATATTAGGGATGCGACCTAGATGCCGAGGTTTTCAAACCATCGATGTTTCCAAAAAATATTTTTCGGTATTTTATTAATGGATTAAAAAACTCCATAAGTACATTTTTGTAGAAGTTTAAATATGAAATATTAACTGATGGTGCCACTGTGTTCCAACCACACGAACCTTCATCCAACAGACGTCCCTCGCCTGAAATGATCCTGATGCAGTGGTATTTCCTTCGTATTTCGTACTTGGAAAGGCATTTTTTTACTTTTTCAGTGGAATTTTAATTATAAATTAATATACATCGTTGCTGTCGAATTAAATTTTGTTACGAATTTAATGTGAAGGTTACTAGTTAAGCTTTTAAATGCCGGTGGTTAAAAACGATCGATTTTGGTCGATGTATTGTTTATGTCGCCTCACAAGTTTCTAAGCGGAATCTTCGCTACTGGTGGGAGAACGGAATTCACGCGCCCATTCCCACCGTAGCGTCAATTGCGAATCAACTATTGGCGACAAGGTTGTCCTCATCCTTTTGCATGAACAGTAAGCAAGCGCCTGTTCTTCAGAGTGAGAAAACGAAAAGTTCATGCATTTCCTAAGCTAATTGCAACTTTCTAAATGTCGATCAAATACTTAATATATATTTGAGGGCAATAATATTAAACTAGAAAGAAAAAAGTACGGAGAATTTCATACTGTGATGCTACAACTATATCGATACTAGATTGCGTGTTTATTATGTATTATCTCCGAATTCTATAGTGCCTAGAATTTGGACGTGATAGTATAAAAACTGAAATAAAGCCAAAGATGTTTGCAAATTTGTCTGCAGAGTGCAGACAAGTTGAACTATATCGAAAATTGTTTTACCATGAGGGTGGGTTTGTGTGCGGTTAACGTCAAGAGCGTCGTTTACAAAGTTGAGATTTGAGAAACTAGTGTGAGCGTAAACATGTTTTAAATCAGATTTTAATTTTTTCCAAGGGTGATAAGTTTCGTTCTCTTAAAGAACATCCTTTTCGGAAAGCAAACGGATTACTTTGCAGAATGTGGAGCCATATTTGTCATCACAGCGTTATTTTGATTAATGACATTTCTTGTACAATTCTTTCGGTTTTAGTGGATAATAATAAATTGTGAGTTCTATGTTGCACTTTTTGCGCCTATTTTTACTGCTTTTAGTGCCGCGAATCCGCAGCATCATTTCACTTCTTGAAAGAATAATTAATCGAAGGAAGGCCTGGCCCCTTAATCGTGAAGTTAAGACTAGCTTTTACCGCTTTCACGAGTCGAAGATACTTGTTTGCTATACGGGGAAAACGTGAATTTCTTGAATTCTCAGTTCCTGTATTATTGTAAGGGTAGTATCGTTATTATACGAAAGGATTTTTGGATATATAACATTGGCATTAGGAAAATACCATTAAAATATTCAATTAAATCAATCTCAATAAAAAATAGACTAACGCCCGTGTGAATTATTATTGGAAACCGACTTATTCAAACTTGAGAGAGAAACTTTAAATACTTCGCCTTCACGTTGTCTCTGACCGTGGGAACCATTAGACGAAGGGCTGAGGAGTAGTTGCGCATTGGTCGGGAGAGGGGCGAGTGTACAGGAAACATCAGCAAGCAAGTGATTGGGACTTCTGCTCGGGAAACTCCACTCCTTGTCGAGGGGGTCAAGTAGACATTGAATGTGTGAGGCGAGTGTTTCGATTTGGAACTGCTTGGTTTCTTCGCCGCCTCGCCTCCCACCCTTCTCCCATTATCTCCACCCAATCCCCGCTGCTGTGCATTCGTCGGCGCCAAATCCCACGAGGTGTCGTGGGACTCACGACCGCGATCTCGCAGTGAGACCTTCCAGGAGACTGAGGCCACTGTCTTTTCTGTTCGCAGGACATCAAAATTTTCCAGTAATCGGCACCGCAAGTTACAGCCCTTCAGAGAAACGTGACTCTCCAGCATCCGAAGCCACGGCTGCCACTTCCAATCAGTTTTTACTAGCAATTTTGTCACCGCCGCCATCACCGCCACAGCCCCGCCGCCGCCAGCACTCGCTGCCGCCGCCGCCTCCGCCGTTGCCCCTTCGCCCAGCTCTGGCCGCCGCCGCCACAGCGCTGTCGCCCTCGCCGAGGCCGCCCCTGCCCGCGCGGTTCGCCGCCCCCGACGTCGCCCCGTCGCCCTCGTCCTCGCCCACGACGTAGCGCCACCGCCATCGCCATCGCCATCGCCCGCCCTCCCGTCGCCGCTCTCGACCCTGCAGTAGGTACCAAGTCGTCGTCCGTCGTCTTCGTCCGCCGCTGTGGCCGACGGGCCCCGTTTCGTTTCCCCGTCGCCGCTTCCCGTAGGAGTTGCTGCTTCGCTGTGCGTTTGTGAGTGAGCGTTCGCCGACGCCGCCACCATGGGCACCGTCAACGTCAACCGAAGCGTCAGCGATGCCTTCTACCGCTACAAGATGCCCCGCCTCATGGCCAAGGTGGAGGGCAAGGGCAACGGCATCAAGACTGTGATCGTCAACATGGCCGACGTGGCCAAAGCCATCGGCCGACCTGCTACCTGTGAGTATTCTTGGTTTGTCAATTAACAGTTCAAACATGACATATGGGGGGAAAGTACAAACTGATCGCGTTTTCCTGAGCTCTAGAATCCCTTCCCCACAGTTTACCCCTCTATAGTTGAATACTTGCACCAAGAAAGCAAGGTTAATTCTCTCCCCCCTGTTGTTTTGTTTTTCTTTTTGCTTTCGCGAAGGCTGCTTTTTTTTTGGACTGTCGAGATGGTTTGAGAATTAAGTTCTGGATTTTTTTTTCTTTCTATAATTAAACTAGATACTATTCTTAAAGTATTGTTTGTATATCAGGTACTTTTGTCATAGATTTTATTTCTCTCTTTCATAATGCGTTTGTTTAAGGGTCTAGAATAAAGAAAAAGGCTCAGGTGGTAAAGTTTTGTACCGACCTAGGTAATGGATTTATTATTATTTTTTATAAATACGGTTTTAATACTCAAATATCTTCCGCTATAAATGCTCCCAGATGCGAAGTCTCCGAATTACACGATTTTGCTGGTTAATTTTGGAAAATTCTCAACTGATATCTTTGGACCTTCTATTTCGCGACGGAGGGCTCGGCGCTACCTGGAAAGGGCGCGATTCTAATAGAGGACTCGTAGGTTTACTTTAAATGTTAAACACATAATATCAACGTTCCTACGATATTCAAAATACAAGCAACTCCTGGCATTAAACGTCTGTAAGCCAGGCATTAACTGTAACTTTTAATTTGAACGCGGTAAGTTAATGATAAATATACAAGTTGCTTTTGCCGAATGAATTTAAATTGTGAAAAATTATAGTAATTTATTATCTATTATTTGTGTTGTAATCTAATGTGTTTTAAATCTTCTGATTGTTCCTAAACTTAATATAATATTGGTCGTTAATGATCGTAGCTGTTTCAAAATTGGCATAAATTGTATTTAGAAAAAGGACGATAACTGATGTATTTGTTTATTTCAGACCCAACCAAATACTTTGGCTGCGAGTTGGGTGCCCAGACACAGTTTGACTTCAAGAACGACCGCTTTATAGTGAACGGCTCTCACGATGCTGCCAAGCTCCAGGACCTTCTCGACGGTTTCATCCGGAAATTCGTGCTGTGCCCCAGCTGTGAAAACCCCGAGACTGTGCTCTCAGTCAGCCAGAAGAAGCAAGCCATTCTCCAGGCGTGCAAGGCTTGTGGTTACCATGGCCCGTTGGAGTTCAACCACAAACTCAATACGTTCATCCTCAAGAATCCACCTAGTAAGTTTGTCGCATGGCATTTTGTGCCGAATTGTTGCCTATCAATGAAAGCAAATCCATCCAAACCTGCATGCTTAGTGAGATATGAAACGCTTCTCAAAAGTTTTATTTCATTTATATTTGTTGAATTCGTTGTTAGCATCCTGTGCAAAAATCATTGACCTGTAATTCCGTTGCCCGAGGCACGCCAATCCAGGAGACAGATTTTTACGTCCCAAATTTGGGAGTTCGGTAGATGAGCTGGATCAATTTTTTTACGAGGAGGAAGTAGTCAACGGCATAAACTACTTCGAATGAAACAGCGAATTATTAGATTGCGTGAGAAATCGTAAATCTGCGGACGAAATACGTAAGGTAGTTTTTTCTGTCTCGTTCTAATATGAACCACTACCGAAATTTCTGCGGTATCCACTGAATAAATACAACGATTTAAATTGCATCCTAGTTGCGATGGGGTAAGGTGCCGTCCATGAATTACGTAACGCAAATTTCGAGTACTTAGAATACCCCCTTTTCCAACGCATCCGTAACGCGCGATTGAACTCAAATTACATAACGCTTGACTTGTTTCTTGCGTGCTTGTAACCCCCCCCCCTTATGAACGTAAGAAGTGAAAGTAAATTATAGCTCAATAAAAACAATTTGTATTCATTTCATTGGCGATGCAGACAAGACCTAACAATAAGATTGGGTGAATGAAAGACGCATAGGCGAGTAAAGTTTTGATTACAAGCCGTGCGCACGCCGTCGTGGATTACGCATAGGCGAGAGTCTACTGCACCAACTACGCCTTCAATTAAAATTCGATAAAACATCGACAATTCACTATTAACTAATTTATGTTGTAAAACAAATTAATTAGTTGACATTTTAATGTTTGAATATGAGACACAAAAAAGGTAGTATGTCAGCCAATGATGAAAAATTTTAAAAATTATGTAACAAACTAATACCCTTCATTCCCCATGTAACACTGCCTAATCCCCCCTTTGTTACATAATTTATGAGCGACCCCTTAGGGTTCTTCAAAATTCTTAACTGTTGGAAGATATTGGAAACTTTCTGTATATCCAAGTTTGTATATGGATATAATAAAGTACTATTGAAGGAACAGTTCTATTCAATATGGAAGTCTGACCGTAAACCGAGTCTTCTATCATATGTCAAGCGCAGATCCACGGTGTTGTGCGAATTCTCTCGCTCTCGCTCTAATTCGACTCTGGATCCACCCCTGCTTATATAGTTAGTTTTTGTAATCCACAATGTATAACGATCTTCTAGGGTTTGCAAATCATATGCCACCTTACGGCACAAATTGTGGAATTTGCTGTATATGACTCAAATAATTGTGCAGTCGCACATCCAGCCAAGCAGTTTGTTTGTTGTTGTTCCACACAGATGTCAAATACATGCGACATCACAAAGTTATTGTCCAAAATTAACTTTCTTTCTCTTATAAGTTTATTATGGTGCTTTCTGGCATTCATACAGTTTTGAATATTCGCTCCTAATGTTGTTCGTTTTCAATACGTGTACACATGCAATAAAGCTTAACATTACAAAATGGTGAAAAATTCGTCCTAGCTATCAACTATACTTTTTTCTCTCTAACACCAAAGCAACATATTGGGGGAGGATTAGTTTTAATTACTTGTACGAGAAGAATAAGCATTGTATTTGGTACTTCCTTCCTTCCCCTGGGAACTGCCACTTCAGTAGATGCTAAACTAGCAAGGTCTCGGTTGCGTTCTCCGCTTAGATTTTAGTTGTTGAATAGGCCAATAAATTTGCATCCAATTATATTTTTTGATTCAACATAAAGGTCACAATTTTTATTATCAATATAATCTCCTTCATCTCAAAATACTTCCTTGATAGAATTCAAATGTGCCCACTGGAGCTCAAAAAGCAACCATGCTAGTGGGCAGAACTAGATAAATAGTTTTGAGTAATGAACTCATTAATATTATTCCAGGAAACAAAATTCTGAAATGAACTATGTTCTCACAGGATGTCCAGTAGGTCTCATACAATAATATTGTATTCTGATAATTTTTTTATTATTATTATTATTATTATTATAATTATTATTTTAATAGTTTGGAGGAGGATCATGAACTAATATTGAGTCCAGTTATTGGAGTGTAAAAGACGGTAAACAAGGTAAACATTAAAGTTCTCTTGTTCTTTTTTGAGTGTAGGCTTCTGCTGCTGGAGTCAGTATTTTCTTGGCTCTTCAGGGGATGCAGTGTCCTAGGCACACATACCTGTGATTTGGCCTTGGTGCTTCAGTTAATCTTCAGGGTGAAAAGTAGGCATCTCCTGGTCAGCCAAGTAAATGCAGTTGACTTATAAAGTAATAGAACATACTACACAAATAAGACACAAATTTTGACAAACTTCATTCAGGGAACGTAAAATGATAATCTGTGAGTGTAGCATGTTTGGGAGGATTGTTGCTGTTAAATTAGTTTTTGCAACAAAATTGGCAGAAATGCTAGGAATGATGCCAAGGCGATGTGCCAGCTGTTGCCTGCAATTGAATGGGAGTCTAGCATTACTTAGGGAATGGAGGTTGTATTCTAGCACCTGTGCCATTATTCTTGTGTTTTGAGTTAACAGCAAAAACAGACAATAGAATTAAAGAAACCTTACAAATTTTAACCCATGTGTTCTTAGATTCAAAGAACCATTTAAGCACTTTCCTTGTAGCTAAGTTTTTATTGGTACAACTTTTCCTTTTTACTTGAATTAGTAGTCTAGAGAAATTCATATATTACATACTTTCTCCTTTTATTTGTAAATTATGTGCTGTGACAACACTAGTTTTGATGATTCTGATGGTGTTAAGCTCTCGTGTATCTAACCCAAATAATACGTAATGTGTGTTGTTGTTTTTTTTTTTTTTAATTATGTAATGCACCTTAGAATTTAAAAAAATAAAAGGTTTGTTCTTGGCTCTAAGTTCAGATTCAAGCTTTTTCTGGAGAAATATACAACAATTTATTAGTAAAACCTAAGAAAGTTTGTAGTATACTTCCCTCTTTTGTTGGTTATGTACTTATTCTTTTTATTTATTAAGTTGTTATTAATATTGATGTAAATATTAAGAATTCTCTGGCTGAACACTCTTCCTCCAATCATAGTTTTTCTTTTCTCTTGTTAAGTGGTGTCAAGCCCGTTTTTAATGATTTTCAGATATAAACATCACATCATCTTCTATTCTATCATTGTCTTCTAAGTGTTCTGAAGTTGGGTGCCCAAAATTGTTGTCCTTTTACTATCTCATATAATGCTACGTAGTATATGTGAAGGTCTTCTATTATTTTTTCCTCCAACTTTCCTTTGCCTCGTAAAAACAATGTTAATATGGGTTTTGCAACATATTAACCCCTCAAAATCTTAATCTTGATGTATCTCAAAACACTGTTCTTGTAGTTGGTGAGTTTCCCTTTTATGCTGACATATTTTGTTGGGCTGCCCTTGCACTCTGGCTGAACACTCATCCTCCAACCCAAATTTTCTTTTGCAGACATAAACCCTGCCACCCAGGGCTCATCTCTCACAGAAGGCAAGAGAGGCAAGCGAGGAAAGAAGAACGGCGAGGCTAATGGTGAGACACGCACCTCTGACAACGATAGCGAGCAGGCCAACGATACCTCAGAAAACAATGAAGAAAATGTAAGTTTTCCCAGCTGTAAATTTGCCTACCTGTTGCAGACTCAAAAAAGTTGTTAGTGTATGTATAATTTGTAGCTGTAGGAAATAAGTTCTTAAATTGTTCAAACCATCAGTCACTCAAACTGAGAATGGAACCCAGGTGTCTTGGTCGTTTTAACCAATAAGCTACCAAAACTATCAAGTTTAGGAATGTTTTCATAAAACTGGTATTGTCTGTTATTGGTCATGTAACATAAAACCTTGTGACCTTGTTGGATTGGCAGAACCATATGTAATTGCCAATTTAATAATTTGACATGATACTGAAATAGTGATAGTTGATCATTTCTGTGCTGAAAAAGTCATAAAAATTAAACTTATTTAAGTCCATTGCAAAATTTCCTGTGAATGCTGCATTGCATCAAATTCAAAGGCAGTTTTGGGTGACAAGAAACTTGTACTAGATTAATACAGATTTTGTTACTTATGAAACTCGCATTTAAAAAAAGCTTGTAAGTCTAATTTTTGTTTCTACACAGAAAATATTCATCTCATTCATCCCCTCTGGCAATCAAAGGGGAATACTCTTTGAGAAGTGAGAAACAGAAATGTATTAATGTGTGCAGGTGGTGGAAGTCTTAAACACAAACCCAATTCAATAATAGATAAATAAGAGTTCTTAAGCAGGTTTTGAACAAAAGTCAAGGAAAGCTTCAAATGTTTCTCGTAAAAAATTTGATAACCTCGCTAAGTAAATTAAATTATCAAAACTAAGTTTTAAAAATCAGAGGACCTGAGTTTGCTTGGTCTTTCACAAATAATTTCCTCAAAAATATAGATTTTAAATTTTTAGGTTCTTGCTAGATGATCACTCTTTTTTCTCCTTTCATTTTGACCTTTTCCTGCTGCTATTGGTGATGTGAACTTTGCAACATGACTCTTGTGTGAACAGGGGGATGTGTCCACCAACGGTGATCGCACTTCAGAGAAGGGAGAGGATGACGAAGGCTGGTCGGTTGATGTGAGCGAAGCTGCCGTGCGTGCACGAATGCAAGACCTCACTGAAGGTGCTAAGGGCATGACGATCACTGATGACCTTGAGAAGACCGAGAAGGAACGTCTCGATCTAATCTACGAGATGGTAAAACGTAAGCGTGATGCTGGTACCATAGGCTCGGCGAACAAGGAACTTCTGGCCGAGGCTGAACGACTTGAAGTAAAATCCAAGGTCCCTCTTGTCCTAGCAGAACTTCTCTTTGATCAGAATATGCATCAGCAGGTAAGAGTTTCGAAATAGTTATTAACATCATTTGGCTAATGTAGTGCAAATAATGGATGTGGTTGAAGTTCGATATCTGAAACAATAATCATGGTTTACAAACACCATTATTTAAATCACCCGTATGTCCTATTAATTTTGTAATACCTTATAGAAAAATCATTAAAATCAGAAATAATTTTTCTTGGAATATTCATCTACAATCTCTACATTGAACACCTTGTTTTAATTACTCTTGACAAATGGCACTGTAAAATCCTTGACTAGCCATTCAGAAGGACTTTTCTTACATGGTAGGGTTAAGGCAATATAACAGGATAGTATTATGAATAATAATTTTAAGGTTCACGCCACAGAAAATTGGGTATTTCCAAATATATTTTAATGTAATTCAATTGGTTAGGTTTATTGGTTTCAAACTATATCTTAATGTCCTGTCTACCAGTATCTCAAAATTTTTGAGTCTGTTCAGGATTTTAAAAAACTTAAAATTGTCTGTCCCCAAGCAAAATAATATGACCATAAAATGACTCTAGTCTTTTTTTTTAATATTTATTTGTAAAACTTTTTATTGCCTAGTCTTCTGCTAGAAAGTTTTGAATGTTAATAGTTAAATATTGATATCAAATATTGCTGATTTCAAGAAATGTTTACAGTGATTAATTACTTTGACCTGGGGAAGGGTAGTTTTGATAAAAACCATTCAGGGCCTATTTCACCCATCAAAGAGTAAATGTTTACTGGAGAGTAACTTCTTGGAGTGTTTCACCAACACTAAATTGAGCCTAAATCACTTACACAAGAGTAACTTTACTCATTAAAAATTCGTTGAGTAAAGTACGTTGAGTGAGCTCGGTTTTCAACATGCATGTACCTGCATGTGTTGTTATGGCTTGACGATTGTGAACAATGGTACTTTCTAAGACGATTCCAGCGATGTTTTGGAATATTCTCTTCTAGTGCGAATACAAAGGTGGATGTGGGAGAGGATGGATTGGTTTCCAAATTATGAAGATCGAGATTTAGTCATGAGGTTGATTCATCAAATCATCAGCTCTTCTATTTGAAAGAATGGAAGATTATTTAGATACTAATTATAAAAATAAAAAATTAATAAAAGTAGTAGAATACTGTATTCATCAGATTGTAAACAGACCTTTTTTTAACATTATGCTATTTTAAAAATTAACCCTCAGTTTATAATCTGTATCATTGTGTTGCTATAACATAGCTGACATCAAACATCTGTTAAGATATCTATTTTTCATAATAAATATTTAAAAGCTACAATATAAACTATGCTGATTCAAATCATCAAAACACCACACAAGACTATACCACTAGACACCACCATGAACTCTAAAATTGAAATTAATGGAAATAACCAGAGGTTCCTGTCGGTCCACATTGGTTCACAGCGTCACTCTCGCTCACACTTAAATCGGCTGAGTATGAAAAATTAGCAGGTTCAATGGGTTTTTACTCTAAAGTAAAATATTACTAGAATAAAATTTTACTCCAAAGTAAAACTACTCTCCAGAAGTATAACTCACTATTAATGATCATAGTGTAATACTTATTCTGCAGTAACTACTCTTTAACTTCACTTGGCTGTTAGTGAAACTGGCCCCTAGCCTTTCGTAATTCTCACTCTGCTCTACAGATTGGTAAAGATTAGTTATTGTGTTGCTCAATATGCGAAGGTTTGCATATAATTTGAGAGTTACTCGTTCTATTAAATGCCCAATACTTACATTCATGGTTTTTACTTAAGAACTGTTTTCTTTTTCTTTCTTTTTTTTTCCTCCTCGATAATTATATAAATAAATTAATAAAAAAATTAAATTTTAAGATTTTCTACAATTTATGAACTAGTTGTCCAGAGGTCTTGTTATGGTTTTCTTAAGATTTGCTGTCCTATTGAAAATCAAATGTTTTGCAGGTGAAGAAGCATCGTGTTTTGTTCCTGCGCTTCACACATGAAGATCACAAGGCACAAAAGTACCTGATTGGAGGCATTGAACAAGTGATTGCATTGCATAAGGATGCGTTGCTGCCAAAAGTGCCAGGCATTTTGAAGGTGAGCTTTTTATTTGGACACTGATTAATAGGGTGTGGATTTCGATTACCTAAAACATTGCCAAAAATGATCACTAAAATGCTCGTCATGTTTTAAAAAGGACATTAAAAATTAATCAAAACATCTTCAGATGAACAACTCAAGTTGTTGAATTTGTTACTGATGTACTTGAGGCTTTTTCCTTTTGATCATGTAAACTCAGTTTGCAAACTATGGGTTTAGACTGTTCTTTAAAAGAAAATCTGCCTTTATTTGTAGTGAAATTGGCAGAACTGACAAAGGTGCTGATAAATATCACAGGAACCTTAGATTACATAGTCTTCACAATAGCTGACATCACAATATAAGCAAAGAAATCGACTAGACTATTCAGGAATTCTGTAGCACCTCATAAATATTGTTTGAAGCAAGAACCATTAAAATATATGAAATCAACGAAAAATACAGTAAAACGACATAAAAATCTTAGACTAGTCAAAATTGACAAAATATGCAAAAAGACGTAAAAATTGGTCATTTTGTTTCGTCATAACATAAAATGACTAAAGGCATTGTTTAAAGTGAAGAAATTTCATTAAAATCTGCCCCCTACTGATCAAATTTGGTATCACAATGCATGTGCGTGCGGTGGATGTACAAAAATTGTAAGACTTCTCAAAGATTGTCATTCTGCAAGTAAATTTGTTTAATTCTGATCAAGCACTTTATTTCACAGCCAACAACTTGATTGAACTATTGAACTTACTGTTATGTGAACTACCTCTATGAAATTTATACTAGTAGGAATATAATGTTTTCTAAACACATTTCATCACTTAACTCAAATTTGACTTTTTATAGAAGTCATTATTTTTGTCCACCAATTATGTGATGTAATTTCTAAAGTTAGAGGAAATAAAAGGAGGCCACAAGAGTGTTAATGAGGCACTTTAAATGAATCTGCACAAAATGCAATTAAAAATTAAGTTTTATAATACTATACGGATATTTAGATACAAATACGGTAGAACCCTCTTGTTTTCACTTCAAGCAATCCTAAAAAAAAGATATAAAGGGAGGGGAAAATCTTTTGGCACATGTAACTGAAAATTTACAATTCACGTTTATTCTTAGTATTAACAATCGGTAACTATTTTTTGGACTAACTTTGTTTTCCACTTTAAAATACAAGAATTCTAGTTTTTTTGAAAAAATATAATATTGACTCCAGCACATACTGTCGTATGAGTTCCTCCGAAGAATGTAAGTCTTGTAGGAAATTCTAAGAGGAGCTGACGAACATCCTCTTCTTACAAAAATGTCCCCAACTTAAATTTTTAATTATTGAGCTCTTGTTTCCTTTCTGTGTAAAGAGTGGATACTGACATCACCAACTTTCTAGCTACAATTGTTCCTTATGGACTTCAACTTCCTCTAGAATTTTTGATATTATTTGAATAGTCGATTATTTGTAAAGAAAGACTTCTTTTCTTTCTTTTTAAATTCATTATAGGACAAACTTAACACTTTACTATACTCTGCTTTGATACTCATCCCAATGCTGTAGCGATCATCACAATACACTAAAACTTCGCTAGAGTGAATCATCATCAAACTACACCAGAATTCATACCTGAGACAACTCGTTGTGAGAGAGCAAAATGCTTAGCGTTCATTAATCTGCTGCAGACGACTTCAAAACAGTGCAAATGATAGGAAACATTTAATTTTGAAAGTGTAAAAGCAGAAGTTGAAGGGACCTGAAATAATCTGTAAACTACAGGAAAACTTAAATTTGAAGAACATAAAAGCGGGATAGAACTGTAATTAACAGGTTATGTTGACAACACTGATGCTCGGTGACAGTTGTGCCAAATGCCATTGCTCCCCAAGATTTCTCTAATCAAGGACGTCTTTTTAAAACAGTTAGTGGTTGTGGCAACATTACTGTGCCTACTGCACAAGATTATTATTATTATTATTATTATTATTATTATTGTTGTTGTTGTTAATAACTTGTTGTTTTTTTTTAATAAATAAGTTTAGTCCTTAGTAAAAGCAGTTCTTTCAGGGCATGCATAGCTAAAAGCAAGATGATGCTAAAAATGTTCAGGTAAATTCAATGAAGAAATAATGTAATTTCATCTGACATCATCAGCTACTGCAAACTTTAATGTATCATTTAATGATTAGTATACTTGACTAAAAATAAATGAGTCAGTGTAAAAATAATGACTACCATGGTAAAAGTTATTCATTTTGCTCTCAGTATTGTGCCACGTAGCCTGTCCACCTTGTTACATCCTTTCTCACTTGCAAAATAAAATGTCACTTTTACCCACAGAACAATAAAGGATAGAAGTGCACCCTCAATGTTAAACGTCGGAAACAAAAGTCACTCGCAAGTGGCCTGGCAAAGAACTACACATAACTGCCTACCCAGCGCAGCGTATGAAAGTTAATTTCACCCAATTGTCTTTGCGAAAGTTCATGGATATTAATAGTCTACATTCTACTGCAATTTTTCTCAAATATAGTAATTATCTATTTTCGTAATGCACAGGTCATAACCGAGGAGAGTCATCTAATTATATGATAATGGCTGAAATGAAGGAATCAAAATGAATAAATGAGTAAATAAATAAATAAATAAATAAATAATGATTGCCTTTATTGTACAATTTATATTAAACAATATTCAATACAGACTTCAACATTTTAATTTTTTTTTTACCTTTTCCTGGTCCTTTGTATATTTTTTTTAGTTTGTATTTTCTGTTTTTCATTTATTACATATTTATATATTAAAGAAACATACGCACTTGTTAAAAAGAAGTTCTTCGGATAAATCGCTTAACAAATGTATCAACAGGTGATTTGGAATTAGAACAAAACCTTCTCTCCAAATTATTTAAATGGCCCTTTGTTTTCTAGGAATGTATACAAATAGTCATGAACATACTTTAAAAATATTACATTAAATAACAAATCATAATAAATATTTACATTACATAACAAAAATACATATTTTCCTTAGTGTTATGTGAATACAGTAGGCTACAAATTTCATACAAATAATCGTGAATGACACTTTAAGTTAAATGCTAACCTCTATATAGTGAAACATCATTTTATTTCACTAAGACCAGCAAATCGAAATGGAGGAAACTCGAAACTATTGCGATTGTGTCTGCTAAAACAAAATATCTTGAAACGTGAAACACGCACAGAACATTAAAGGAACTCGTGAACGTAACCAACGGCAATATGATTCACTCTTCCGCCATGTGGAAAACGTAGGCAGGCTGGATGTGACAAGGAACAAGCGAAAACCACTAACCAATCATTGCTTGATATTCTTTCAACTAGCTCTCCAAGTGGCCTGGCAATGTGTTGCCAATTTCCTTATCTCACCTTCACCGCTGTGCTTTTACCACTGCTCTCATAAACTATTTTGCTACGAAAACAACTTTAAAAATAAGTAAATATTATTAGAGATAGTACCATACTCCCACAATTAAGAGCTGAGTAATTTAAGAGAAGTGTTGAAGTTTAAAATCTTGTGATGAAAGTTTCAGTGAAGTGCTTGTATTTTCTATTGGCATCTTCTTCTTCTTCTTCTTTTCTTTTAATTTATTTATTTTTTTTTATTTTATTTTTTCCCTCCCCTGATGTTATCCATATTATCAACATTTTTCAAATATTTCATATATCATTTCAATATTATCAAATATTTCCGTATTATCAAAAAATTCATTTTTGTATAAAGTACTGATAATACCAGCTAGTCTGTGGCATTAAAATCAATTAACGGATGGTATATGAGAGGATAAAGTAAAGGCTAATGGGTGAAATGTAGTTGTGAGATTTCAGAATAACTTTCGGGCTCATTTTGTCTATTTCAGCTCTTCTACGATACAGATATCCTAGAGGAAAAAGTCCTGTTGGAGTGGGCTGAGAAGGGCAGCCGCAAATATGTTTCCAAAGAGCTGTCGCAAGATATCCATTCGCGTGCCGAACCCTTCATCAAGTGGCTGCGTGAAGCAGAGGAAGAGGAGAGTGAGAGCAGTGAAGAGGATGATGACGATCTTGAGGTGAATATCTTGGCATTTAAGCTCTTTTGAAGAAAGCATATTATACAAATATTAATCCTCTATGACATATGTAAATGACATATAAGAATTTATATTGTGTTGGATATAACTATTAAAATTCTAGAATGATGTCTTTTAGATTAGTTTGAAATTGATTCTACTGATTAGTTTGCGCATACTCTCCTTTTGGTACACTTTCAATATTTGATGTAAAATTAAATAAAAGCTTTCAAAAGATCATGGTTTTGATCTACATCCCTTCCTTCTTTTAGTAGACTATTTTGGAGTGACTTTTAAATTTCTAAAAGCAGTACTTGGTATGCAAAATATTTTCTAAATTTCAGTAATCATTCTTCAAAAAGATACATTAAAATCAAATCTTAGGCCTTTTAGAATTTAAAAAGTGTACAGAAAAGAAATCTAAGATAATAATTTGTTATCTTTTTTGTGTAGATTGAGTACGATGACCGTGCTAAGGCATCACCATTGAAAGAACAGCCGAAGACACAGCCTGCCAGGAAGCCAGCTGTGGATGATGAGGGCGATGACCTTGACATCGATGCAATCTAAAAACCATAGGGCAGCAGTTGGGAGTTGGGACAGAAGATAATTCTGTCGATAGCTCTCGGCTCCAGCCAGCGACACTCTTTTTTGTTGCTTGTTTCAAAGAATTGATTGAATTAGCATTTCAACATTTTGTTGTTCTCTTTTTAGCATATAGTTTTGGATATGTATATTTTTCACATTTTTGTTTTCATGCATGCAACAAGAAAAATTCAATGTGGTGTTATATGAACACACAACACAGTACACTGAACCAAAAAATGTTGAGGCCATAATAAGGTGATGTAATGGTGGATATTTGATTAGTAAACAAAGTTTGAAGAGAATTCCTTTGTTGTACCTGTTAAAAGCTGAGTTTGCATAGTGCAAATTAGGTTACCAGGTGGGGTTACATTTTTCTCCTCTTTTCACTAACAATTTTTTTGTTTTTTAGGTTTCTGGTGTATATCTTGTTTAACTTTATTCTACTTTTTAAAACTTCTGCTAGTTGATTCCTGAAATTGATAATTGCCTATGTAAAGAAAATCTAGAAAAGGGATAATGAAAAGGAAAAATCTTGTCATTCCTAGATCCTTCACTCGCTTCAAGAATAAATTCACCAAGCGGGAAGGCTCTGGAAATCTGGCAAGAGGTATTAATCTTATATGTATTCCATGAACATAAATCTCTGCCAGTCCCCTGGTGACGACTAAAAACAATAGTAGCTGTAGTACTCAGTGTTGTAATTTGGTGTCAGGTGTAGATCCAAAGTGATTGCAAAGACAGATAAGGTGGAACTCTCGCGGCGTGGGTTGCTAGGTGATGATTGGAAGTGTAGACACTTGTGATTGTTTTTCAACACTGTTATGCATAACCCAACCCTGAGGGTATATGTTCAACTTTTTGGACGTCTAAAATGAAAAAAACAATGATTTGCCAAATCCAGATAAGTAACAAGTTGGTCTCCTGTAGAATCTGCATGTACATTTTTATCAATAAACAATTTCTAATAATGTTGACTGATGTTGAAAAGAAAGTCTAGTTTTCAGAGTAGCATGTTATAATGAATAGACTGTGCGAAAGTTCAAGATAAATGCTCTCCATGTTGCATGGATTATGATATGCTATTGTTTGAGTGAATTGTCCTCATAGTGTGTCTGTTTTTGTATTTGTCATTATTTAAATGAAACTAATTTACAAATTTGCTTATGAAGTGTATACAAAAATAAAATTCGGTAAGCTTTGATACAAGAATTTTAATTTGTTAAGCATGAAAGCCAAGCCATTGGTGTATAAATGTAAACACAAATGTTGTTTTTTTTGTGAATATTGTTGATGTGTTGCTGAAGTTTCTTAAATAGCAAGTAATATTATATACTTGTGACAGATATAATGTACCAGACATAGCATTATCTGTTAATGAGAATGTTGGCTTTGGAGAAACAGTATGTTGAAACATTGTTCAAAATTTATTTTATCAGTTGTAAAGAGAATATCCAGTTTTGTGATAGCTGGAAGAGCACTGAATTCATATTAATAGGAATATTTGGTTTGTAATTGGAGGATTAGAAATCAAAAATCCTCATTGAAATGTATTTATATTTCTGGTACTTGAAACTTTCAACAGGCATGTGTTCCTTTGCTTACCAGATTGCACTTTTGCAGATTTGACCTTGTAGTTGAAGAAATGTGCAATTGATAATCTTGTGAGCTTTGAAAGCTTAAATGTATAAACAGGCTAATTATGTCCATTATATTCATGTTTATACTCTCAATTCATGGTGAATGTTTTTAAAAATAGGCAAAATTGGGCACATATGAGCATTATGTAAGATATGTTTAAACAATAAAGTATTCTATTAATTGTCAAGTGGTGAAATTACTCTGCCTTTTTAGGCATTGTTTGTCGCACCTAATACCAAAGGTGAAGTTGCACGTGTGATACTGGGGGTTGTTGGCTTGTATAGCTTTGGGGGCGGGGAGGGGGGGATGTGAAAGATGCTGGACTGAACTGCAAATGAAATTCTGAAAATCTTCAAATGTTTTGTTATTGGATCAAACCTTTTTTAAAATGAGGCTACTATTCCAGCAGATTTATTCTGGAATTATTCTGATGATGTCAGAATTCTATTAGTTCTGGAATTTTCTGATATTTGATTAAAGCATTCTGAAGGAATAGATTGAATAAATTCTTTGCCAACAACTCTGGGTTTTGAAAAGGCTTAAAATGAACCAAATTCCATGACAAGAATCTCAAATTTGAGACTGACTTGTTAAATTACTTGTTCTGAAAGTTTCTTACTGTAAGTTCAGAAAAAATTTAAACTTTTTTTTGTTTTGAAGATTTTTGGATTGCTAGTGGAAGTAACACTGGTGTAATTCAAGAAGGGAGATACACTGATGATTCTAGCATACACCATGATACTCTCACGAATTTTTACTATCCTGTAGTAAATTTGTAGCATTTCTAATGTTCACATATTCAGTGTGCACCTAGGTATAAAATGTACTTTTCTCTGCCAATAAATGAAGTTTATGGGAAAGGCTTGACTCATTCATGCTCTTGTTCCTGTTTTTCCTTTTTTTTCTTATATTTTAAATAACATTTTCCATTAACATTCTAGTGGGTGCATTTCAGAGAGCTCAAATTTCTTGTCCATGAATATGGTCTGTTTCTCACAAGTCCGTGCCACTACACCTTTTGTGTATGAGGGTAATGAGCACTTGGCTGGTGGAATGCTCTTCCACAATCTAATGATGAATATAGTGCAATAGTATGGAAGCAATGACGGAAAAAGGTGTAATGTTTGTATTGGCCCTAAAGAGAAAAGCTTCAATATCGAGGTTTGAGGTTTCTTCTTAATTCTGTTCTTTACATTAACTCGCTGAAGTAGAGGAACGAAAACCCATTCTTAAGGGCCAGCATCTATTATAGATATTACAATCCACCACCTGTTAAAGATTGTACTTGTAAATAAAGATAACAGAGAAATCCAAGAAAGGTATCTTGGTTTATTTTTCCTTGCAAAAAGGTGATGATTCAAAAATATGAAAATTATTGTCCAGCACATAGCCAATATGTAAATATTGCATTTGGTTGGTTATAAACCTCAATTTACAAACTTCATGCTGTATATCATCCTAATGTTAGTTGTTAATTACATGTTAAAACAATTCAGTAATTCAAAATTTTGGAGGATTATAAATCTCTTTCCAGTATGGCAATTTTGTGATGAGAGCAGTCTTTATGTGCATTACCGCTACCCAAGGAGCTCAAAGGATTGGGAAAACTGAAACATTCATTGTCACTCATAGTAGGGGAGACTAATATTATTATTTAGGTATCTGTCTCAATGGTATCTTTTAAACACTAAATTTGGCCATGTCACTGCCATCAGTGGTTGCAGTTTATGTTCATTTATCAAGAACAGCTAGTTGACATTAGTTTTCTGTTATAAACTTTTTAAGAATTCATACGTTCTATGCAGTCATGTTTTTTGGCATTGAAAATTGCATTTTTACTTTCTTGTATACATACATAGATACGGAGTAATAAACGTAGTATAGAGAAAGTTCCATTGAAATCTCCAAATCCATTTTCCGCAGCAAATCGAGCAAAAGGGTCCCCTGATAACAAAAACGTGTTGTTTTTTCAAAACATCAGTATCTGTGAACACTAGTGCTTAAACCATATGTAGGATTGTTTGACCTCTGTCCATCTGGCTCGAGTCGAAGCTTTGAGATATTGAAAAAAAATTTTTGAAATTTGGGGAAACTTTACGTCAAGACCATGCAACTTTCAGAGTTTTCTCAGAAACTGCTCCAAATTGTTTCTTTAATTTTCTTGTAAGAATAGAGTAAAATACACTTATAAATGTGGCAAGGTTCTGACTTTCATGGTTGACTCAGAATTTTCAAAAGTTTGAATTATTCCAGTGTCTTCCTTCAACTACAAAATTGAAGATAGAGATTTTTCCTACCAATGAAATTTGTTGTTCATAATCAGTTCTTTCAATAAAGTCATGTAAATTTTTTAAATATTTTAGTAGTTTTCGACAATATTGCAAGAAACATGTGCAATATTAAAAAGCAATAAAATCAAGATTTTCTCAAAATTGGCTCCAAATCTTTTACTTTAAATGGCATGGATAGTGGGAAATGTACTTTATTAGACACACAAATGCCATTTTGTTTTTTCTAAAACTACAAAAATGTAATTTTTTGACTAGTCTCTCATGTTAATATTATTTTTAGCAGTGATTTGTTTACATTTTTACTTTAGTTTTTACATTTAAGAGTACAAGTGCTTTAAATAATGTTTAATACAGTTTCTTGAAAAATCAATAGTTTTCTGTGAAAACTAGCACTAAATTCTGCATTTTCAGAAATGCTCAAATGCCATTTCCTCAAAAAAGGCTGAATGTTTTTCTTCATATTTTGTGTATGGATAGTACATATTGCCCTGTTTAAGATGACATGGAATTAATTTGATTGTATTCTTTTGTTTCTTCACAAATTATACAAATGTATTTATTTTTTTTAATTATCTTTCGCCCTGCTAATATAGACATTTTCAGCGGTTTGTATACATTATTGCATTTGTGAGTGAAAAATCTTCAAATTACTTCAAATGAAGTTTTTCAATTACAAAAGATTCCTGTGCAAAAGAGCTTCAAATTTCGTATATACACTAGAGTTTAATGATTTTTCTTAAAGATGGCTCCCAAATGTTTACACAAAAATTAAAATATAAACTGAGATTTTACTCTTTAATATTTTAAAAATAAAATTTTGAATCTACCATTAAGAAAACGGAAAATTGAGATAATTTCAAAAAAAATGAAATAAGGGTGGCGATAGGTGGCAGCCGCCAAGAGGATGGGGCAAGACTAAAGATAGCCCACACCAAAGAATTTATAAAAGTTTTCCTACGAGAAAGTCTGTGCCATCTTGTAGTGCCACTAGTTTTTTGTGTGTGAATGACAGCTGAAACTAAACAAATCTACATGAATGTGGAAAGTTTATAATTTCATTCATTTTTAAAGTAACTGATGTAGCAGAATGACTTTTTTTTCAATTAGACATAATATACCTGTGAACAGTTTTAGATAAAGTACTTTTGAAATCAGTTTATAGGTATGATGTTATGAAGTCAGTTCTTTAGAGTTATTCTGATGTTTAAGAAGTTTGGTTCTTGCAAAATGACAGCAATAAAGATAAAATTCTTAAATAGGGACTGATACATTGAAGGATGTCAATGATATTGAAATGAACCATAAATCATTTTTAAGTTGGGGACTTTGTGTTTAATCACTTTCAAGAAAAACAATGCCAATTACATAGAAATTATAGATGTTAGTAATGTAGGTTCTGAATGTTAAGCAACTATTTGACAAATTACTTTATACCAGTGAGAAAATAAATATTTCGCGAATCAGAAACTTGGTAGTTATGAAAAGTACCTCACGATGAGAGAACAAACAATTTGTTCTGATCGCTAAAATCCTACATGTTGATGTGACCTTAAAAAAAACGTGTTAAAAAAATGCTTGTCCATAAATCACGTGAGGCGATTTTGGATTTTGGCGATATTTCGACTCCCCCTTCCCCTTGGTGGGATGTGAGATATGATTCGACCTCCCACCCCCAACCCCCACCTAATCTTACGTGAGACTTTACAAAATGCGTGTTTTGAATGTAAATGCGTTAACTTGTGGTCGATTGTATTGGGATTTATTTGAAAAGCATAATTTGCGTAATTATATTTATTTAAGACGAGATATTACTAGTATTTAGAAAATAGAGTGACTGAATTACAATGAATATAATTGTACTTCCGCGGCGGTAATCAGTGCAATAATTCATTCTCGGTAATTTTTCTTTAAAAATTTTGTAAAAATATGTTAAAAGATTTATTTCATTAATGAAAAAAGTTGTAATTTTTGTTAAATTATTTTCCTCAGTGTACTATGCTACTTAGTGGCACAAAGATTAAGGGATTTTTAAATATAAAATTATGAGCAGGTTTTGCTAAATTTATAAACATTACGTAATATTAGGAAACGCGTAGCTCTTACGGCGTGGAGCTCGCCGTCCCGAGGACGCAGAGGGCCCGTTTCCCTCACTCCTCTCTGGCTCAAGGGAAAATTTGAAACGCGTGCACGTTGCAGCACCCGCCGCTTCCTCTTTTTACGAGCCGATTGCCCGAACCTACTTCCGTTCTCGCTTCTCACCCCCGACCCTCTGCGGCGCGGCGCTCCGAACGGACGTGAATGGCGTAGCGCGAATGCAAATCGCTGATTGTGACGCACGAGAATTTTGACTTGGATACGTAAATAGGCCCACCTGCGTCGTTCTCGGTACTCGTCTGAGGAAGCTTGCTTCAGCGTTTCCGGAGTGACAGAGAGGGCACCAAGAAAATTTCCACTCTCAAACATTCAAGACACCGGCAGTGATTTGCCAAGAAAACTTAAACCGCGGTTTTGACCGTTTGCGGCGGTAAACTAAAGGTCAGGGAGAGCAAGGGACTAGTCGCTTGGAGGCAGAGGGGCCCCTGCCCCTGCTTAGAGGCGGAAAGCAAATGCGAAGCGCCTGCGGAGTTGAGTGGATCGCAGAGAGACGCGACCCGACTGCCAGGTTGAAGGGGCCGCGGAGAAAAATATCGAGTTTGTTCGCAGTAATTGTGCTACTCGGGACTTGTGATTTTTGTGACCGAATAGGAAATGGACACGATAAAGTCAAGTTCATCGAATTACTCGTGAATTTAGTACAAGAGTATCCTTGTTTATGAAATAAGGGAAATGCGAGCACTAATACATTTATTCGCATACATATGAAGACAAATCGATAGTAAAGTTGAAGGGGGAAAAAAACTAGAAACCAACCGATCAAGCTTCAATACGTTGAATTCTGTTTGGTTTAGGCGATATACTTACGTTCGTCATCGTGAATGCTTGTCTTTGCGTTTAATTTTTTCTGCTAAGTACAGCTATTACATTACGTGTAACCTTTGCATTGGGAATGAGGCCTTATGGTACTGCTCCATCGTTCGCATGGTGTTGATCGAAAAAACCTCATAAAACTGCCGATTAGAGCAGCCATCTGAAGTTTTCCTCCAGAGGATAAATTCAACCAAGTTGTCGATAATTAGATCGTGTCGTCTCTGTTGGAACTCGGAATCTTATGATCTACGATCAGAGACACTCCTGTGGCTCCTGAGCCATCAGGCTGTGTGGCGCAAATAAGATAAGAACATCCACTTGACAGGCGAGTGCAGCCCGAAACAAGAGGAGGGCAAATACATTCTGAGTACCTCTGATGCCTCTTTTCCATTACATTTTGACTTCTCCGTATACGTACGTACGTGCGGAGTAATATACGTAGTATAGGTAATGCTGCTGAAAATCGATTTCGAGATCCCATCGAAAATACACGTTTTGGGGTCCCAGAATACCGAAAATGTGTTTTTTAAAACGTCGGTCTGGTGTCTGTAAACACTACTAGCGCCTAAATTATGCGTAGGATTTTTTTTTCAAATTGAAGAAACCCCTGTCCATCCGGGTCGAGTCGAAACTTCGATATTTGGAAAAACATTCTTCAAAATTTGGGGGTACTTAACATGAAATCCTTTCTTATAAGAATAGTGTAACACATTGATAAAAGTGGCATAGGTCTGATTTTCATGGTTAACTCTAAATTTTCGGAAATTTCAAAACTATGGTTTTTTCGGTGTCTTTCTACACCTACAAAATTGAAGATAGAGATTTTCCCTTCAAATAAGATTTTTTCTACATAGAAAGTTCTTTCATTAATGTCATGCACATTTTTTTGTTTAGGTACTGTACAGAGAAGGGAGAAGAATACCTTGAACGGGGGAGGGGACGCTAGCGGACTGAAAGGCCTTTCTCAATACAAAGTATTTTATACACCGCACCGGGCCGTGAGGTGCCCGGGAGGGGGGGGGGGGATGGCGCTGGTTAAGAAGGGAGGCGGAGGATGACAAAATTTTCACGAATTTCATTGCACATACGATTTATTGATATGAGATTTGTAATCTACGTGAATGTGCTGATATGATAAATGAAATGTTAATTTACAGTAATGAAAGCACATGAATTCTATAAAATGGATGTTAGTTGTTACATAGATGTTACTTTCACCGTGATGGTGACGTAGTGAACGTTTGTCCATGGGCACACGGCGTAGCCGAATACCTGCTGCTGGGTGGCTGCGGCATGCGTGGACCTCAGAGCTGCTCTTCTCCCGGGCGAAGCGGGAATGCAGGCGTCCCGGTTCGCTGGTCGGAGAGTCTGTCCAGCAGCTGGCCACGGACATGGCCCCAGGTGAGCCCTGGCAGCAGGAGTGCACGTGCGGCACACACGGTCTCGGTGTGTGAGTAGGGTCTGCTCGTACCGCACTGTAGTATCCGCCGATGACAGATTCCCTATGACTACATGCGGCGACAACCTGTTTAGTGGCTGCTCGTCGAAGACAAGGTAGCGCACTTAATTCACCGATGTACGTGCCGAAGGCAGTGTTTTCATGTGCGCGAAGCGCATTGAGTTATATTATGAACTCTGATCACGAGCACGGAGACTGCTCAACGAAAAGGCGCTGGGCCGGCGGTGGTTCTTGCCCGTCTCTCCTGGCACAAGTGAAGGTGGCGTTGCAAGCGAGAATGCTGCAGCCCTTCGGGAAAGCAGGGGGGCGCACCCTGCGGGAGCGACCACCCGCCTTAGCGCGAGGGCCTTGTGTTGTGGACGGAACAGGTACATCTTTTAATGGTGTTCGAGTAACCAGCCCGAGACAAATGAGGTGTCAATCGAGCGTCTTGGTCTCTTGGTGGGAATCGATGATTTGTTTTCGGAGCCATACTAGTTTCGAGGATTCGTTTGCAAAACGCGCGCGCGTGTGTGTGAGTGCGGGCGTTTCTTAGTACTGCGATCTAGCGATGGTCGCGCGAAATACGTGCCCCAGCGCCACGGCATTCAGGAGATGAATGACACACTAAAAAATACATAAGTTTTGTCTAAAACATTTTTTTGATTCGTAATAGAATGTGAATAATTCGTAGTTTCAAAAATACGAGTTTTTGTTATTCTCAAGAAAGTATAATTTGGATTGGAAAATAAAGAAACAATACTGCGTGTCCCATCCAGTGTCGATCGCAGCGTACCAACCTGATGAGTCTCGGTCGGCGGCTCGCGCCGTAAGATATCAAAATTGAATTATTTTTGCCTAATTAACCA